GGCCGACAGCTGCAGACGAGAATTAACAGAGCAGAACCACATCTTTTGTCCCGATGTTAACTCGGTTAAAAGTGAGAATGATAAAAGGTCGAAGGAATGCGAATCTTGTTAAAATTCTTGCTCCCTGCGCGCTTTTTACTGCGCAGACCATTTAATTCTAAATTATGCAAAATGATTTGCAAACTTACGTCATTGGAGTAAGCCGGGAAGTGTTCATGTTTCATATCTATATATCTACACTTTATTATCACTTTGTGAAGAAAAGAAAAGAAAGTAAGAAGGAAAAGGAGAAATGTAAATACAGAAATACTTACGGGGAAGATAACACGAACAAAAGGCGAAACAATTATCGAAAGGGACATTCTGAAGCATTTTCAAAATGCTCAGAAGCCTTTAACCTAAAAAACAAGAAAAATGTAAAACAAGAGACTGAACAGGACGCTTTTCCAGGGTCCATTTAACTCGCCCCGCGGCGCCATCGCCCGCCCGCGCGTCCTTATCTTCGCCGGTCGCAGCCAAGGTGTTTTTAGCGGCCCTGTTATTTTCCGAGAAAAAAATGTCCGCCTGTTCTTGGTGCGGAGGACGAAGGAAGGGGACAGGATGACAACCAAGTTTGTGGAAACTATTATTGACAACTGCCTGGCATCTACCTAAACTGCTAACAAACACACTAAAGACATGTCTTCTATGCGATCGGGCTTACTGGTCCTATCAAATGTAATCTATTAAGTTTCCTCTGGTATCTTTGCCGACTGAAAATTCAAACACATGAAATACGGCCATAACTAACCAAGGACCGACTCCCCTCGCTACCTCCCGGCCGCCCTGCCCGGAAAAAGGAGCCCGCTCACGCAATGGAGCTCAGGGATTTCCTCGCTTCGCGTTATGATAACCTTTGTGAAGGAGGAAGTATCTGACGCGGCGCGTTCTCCACGCTTCCCACGGGGGATGAAGGTCTCCAGGTACAGGCCCAGCCGAAGCCGTCCCTGTTGACACGTCCATCAGGTAAGGGGCATGTGACACTGTGTGGGAGAAAGGCCGCCCGTGACGGTGTGGGGGTGGACGCGGGGCGTGTCAGGTTTCACGTAACGCTTTTCTCACACCCCTTCGAGGACGGCGGAGGGAGGGGGGGGGCGATAGGAGGGAGGGAGGTGGAAGGAGGGAGGTGGAAAGAGGGAGGGTGGGAAGGAGGGAGTCGAGGGGGGTGGGAAGGAGGGAAGGAAGGCGATGGGGAAGGAGGGGGTGGTGGGAAAGGAGGGGAGGTTGGGAAAGGAGGGTGACGAGGGAATTGAGGCTTGTAGAAGTAAGCTCTATCCATCCCCGCCTCCTCGTGGGATTACTCGATACCTTCTCATCGCTTAGATATAATCAGCGCCCTTATCCAGGCCGCGACATCTGCCGCGCCCGAGCCCTGTCAGCCACATCTGGTGCTTGGGCCTCCCCGCGCTCGCGTCGCCCTTCTCTCGCTAGGAGCTATCATAAGGGTGACAATGGCGGATAACAATAGGTGACATATTCATTGCGACGAAATTAGAAAAGGTTTGAATGAGAATGAACATCTCTTGCATTGTGAAAATATTCATTCTCATCATACCTTTTCTATATGATAAAAATATAATAACGTTAATACCGATGATAATGATATTGATATTGATGAAAATGATGTTTATGATAATAATGTTAATAATATTAACAACAACAATGACAAACAGCAAAAACGTAATGACAATAACAAAGTCATCACCGTCATCAAAATAAAATGATCGAGTAATAATTGTCATTATGGTCAGTATGAAACAAAATGGCCTTCTTTACCACCAGGCGAGGTGTCATAAAACCCCTCGCGGCGGGAAATCCTTTGCTTTCTGCTTTCAAAATCCTTGCTCAATCTCATGCGCACATTATCCCGCAAAATATGCAGTTGATAACAATTGCTAATCAGGTGACATGGCAAAAGACAAAGCAAAGAGCAGCCTCTGAACAGCTTACAGCTCGCACGAGGCACACGCCTCGGACCGCGGATGGAATTCCTTCTTTCTCTCTCTCTTTCTGGGTTTCTGGCATCGTACCTCACCAGACATCGCCGAACTGACATAAGAGGCTAGGGAGGGAGAGGGAGGGAGAGGGAGGGAGAGAGAGGGAGAGAGAGGGGAGAAGAGAGGGAGAGAGAGGGAGAGAGAGGGAGAGAGAGGGAGAGAAGGAGAGAGAGAGAGAGAGAGAGAGAGAGAGAGAGAGAGAGAGAGAGAGAGAGAGAGAGAGAGAGAGAGAGAGAGAGAGAGAGAGAGAGAGAGAGAGAACTGAGGAAGGTTCGCCGACATGTTTTTCTCGATTTTGTTTCTCTCAATTTCCCCTTTGACTATTTACCTCACTTATAAATCACGCCGTTGTCACAGACAGTTGTCCCTCAACCCCCCCCTTTCTTCATGAACTGCTCTTGCACTCGATCACTTTTACGTTCAGTCCGTCGTAAAAACCCCGCTGCCACCATTCTTGCGGGCTTCCTCTGCTTTCTCACCACACTCTTTGTCACTGGTTTGATTCCATTCTTATCTCGCTTCCTGCGACTCAGTCCCTGGCGCATTCCGACCCGTTGCATCATCTGTGCCGACGAAGCCCGACGCATTTTCTCCCACGCTTGCCCTTTCCTTCTTTCCTGATCTATTCGCTATCCTTCCTCCCCAATATTTTCTGATTTTTTTATTCCTTTGCTTCAGCCTAACTTTAACCCTTGTTATTCAAAATGAAATCGAATATTCGCCATCTCCGTATCCGAATTTTCTTCTCCAATCACCGCCTTCTCTTTCTTCATCCCTCATCCTGGAGGAAGGAGAAGCCCGAGGAGGACGAGGGAAGAGGAATGGGCTCTGAGGGGGGCGAGGAGCGGGCGGCAAATACACAACGGGGCAGAGAGGGGGGTGAGGGTGGGTGAAGGAGGGAGAAGGGAGGAAGAGGGAGAGAGAGAGAAAAGGAGAAAGAGAGGAGAGAGGAGAGGAGAGGAGAGGAAGAGAGGAGAGGGAGAGAGAAGGAGGAGAGAGAGAGGGAGAGAGGAGAGAGAGGGTGAGAGGAAGAGAGAGGGGAGAGAGGAGAGCAGAGAGGGAGAGAGAGAGGGAGAGAGGAAGAAGAGAGGGAGGAGAGCGAGGAGAGAGGAGAGAGAGGGAGAAGAGGAGAGAGAGAGGACAGAGGAGAAGAGAGGGAGAGAGTAGAGAGAGAAGGGAGAGAGTAGAAGAGGAGGGAGGGAGAGAGAGAGAGAGAGGAGAGAAAGAGGGAGAAGAGGAGAGAGATGAGGAGAGAGAGAGGAGAGAGAGAGGCAAGAGAGAGAGAGAGGAGAGGAGAGGGAGAAAGAGAGAGAGAGGGAGAGAGAGAGAGAGAGAGAGAGAGAGAGAGAGAGAGAGAGAGAGAGAGAGAGAGAGAGAGAGAGAGAGAGAGAGAGAGAGAGAGAGAGAGAGAGGAGAGAGAGAGGGGAGAGAGAGAGGGAGAGAGAGAGGGAGAGAGAGAGAGAGAGAGAGAGAGAGAGAGGAGAGAGAGAGAGAGAGAGAGAGAAGAGAGAGAGAGAGAGAGAGAGAGAGAGAGAGAGAGAGAGAGAGAGGGAGGGAGCAAGGAGGGGGGGGGGGGAGGCCATCGCCTTGCCCTAATTGGTTGTTGAGTTTCAGCGTTCAATACCTGCCCCCGGCGGTTGAGGGAGGGAAGGATGTACGAGGAGAGGAAGAGGAGAAGGAGAGGAGAGGCATGGAGGACAACCAGTCAAGTATGGAGGACAAGGGAGAACCAAGGGGGAGAGGAGAGAGAGGGAAAGAAAGAGAGGGAGATAGATAAAATGGAGAAGGAGAGACAGCCAGACAGAAATAAACAGAGAGAGAGAGAGAGAGTAGAGAAGAGAGAGAGAGAGAGAGAGAGAGAGAGAGAGAGAGAGAGAAAGAGAGAGAGAGAGAGAGAGAGAGAGAGAGAGAGAAAGAGAAAGAATAGAGAGGAGAGAGAGAGGGGGGGGGGTAAAGGAGAGAGAGGGGGGAAAGGGAGAGAAAGAGGAAGAGGGAGAGAAAGATGGAGAGGGAGAGAGAGAAAAAAAGAGAGAAAGAAAGAAGGAAGAAAAGGAAAAGACAGAAAGAGGAGGGAGGGAAAAAATATAGATAGATAGATAGATTAGAAGAGAGAGAGATAGATGGACAGACAAATAGATAGATTGAGAGATAGACAGATAGATAGATAGAGGAAGAGGGAGATAGATAGATAGATAGTGAGAGAGAAAGAGAAAGAGAAAGAGAAAGAGAAGAGAGAGGAGAGAGAGAGAGAGAGAGAGAGAGAGAGAGAGAGAGAGAGAGAAGAGAGAGAGAGAGAGAGAGAGAGAGAGAGAGAAGAGAGGTGAGAGAGAGGGGGGGGAGAGGGAGAGAAAGAGGGAGAGAGGAAGAGAGAAAAAGAGAGAAAGAAAAGAAGGAAGAAAGGAAAGACAGAAAGAGAGAGGGAGGGAAAAAGATAGATAGATAGAGAGAGAGAGATAGATGGACAGACAAATAGATAGATTGAGAGATAGACAGATAGATAGATAGAGGAAGAGGGAGATAGATAGATATATAGTGATAAGAGAAGAGAGAGAGAGAGAGAGAGAGAGAGAGAGAGAGAGAGAGAGAGAGAGAGAGAGAGAGAGAGAGAGAGAGAGAGAGAGAGAGAGAGAGAGAGAGAGAAAGACGGAGAGAGAGAGAAAGACGGAGATAGACAAAGACGGAGATAGACAAAGACGGAGACAGACAGAGAGAGAGAAAGAGCGACAGAAAGAGAAAGAGAGAGCAAGTCCTGGATGTCCTTTCCCGTGAAGGTAAATGGCCTCCACGCAGGCAAGACCGCACATCCGACTGGAAAGAGTGAAGGCCACCGCGACAGACAACTAGAACAGTCTTTTATACCTATCGAACGAGTACATCAACGTCGCTCTACATATTAAGCGAACAATGAACAAACAAACATTTTATCACGGCGTCCTTTATACATGACGGTCATTGTATGGCGTAATGGTTGTGGAGGACGATGGGTCAGGTCAGGTTACAGGGGGGAGAGGAAGGGAGAGGGAGAGGGAGAGGGAGAGGGAGAGGGGTGAGGAGGTGGAGGGAGAGGGGAGGAGGTGGAGGGAGAGGGGAAGGAGGAGGGAAAGGGGAAGGAGGAGGGGGAAGAGGAGGAGAGGGAAAGGAGGAGGGAGTGGGGGAGGAGGAGGAGCAGGAGAGGGGGAGGAGGAGGAGGAGGAAGGAGGAGGAGGGAGAGGACGGGTAGAGGAGAGGGGTGATGATGATGAGGAAGAGGGGAGGAGGTGGAAGGGGAAGGGAAGGGGAGGGGAAGGGAGGTGGAGGGAAAGGAGAAAGAGGTGGAGGAAAGGGAAGAGTGAGACAGGGACAAAGATAGATAAAATAATAGATAAAAAGATAGATCGGACAGACAGAAAGATAAATGGATAGATATACAGATAAAGATATTAGATACATATACATATGAATAGATATATGGATAAATATATTGACATAAACAGATACAGAGAAGAAATTAGATAGATAGAGAAGACGTCCAACGCAAAGGGAAAGCATGTTATATGGAGAGCGACTAAAGAAGCAGAGGAGCAGCAGACGGAGCAGAAGCAGGGCGAAGGAGGGCGAAGGGCGAAGGGGCGGAGAAGGGCGAAGGGCGAAGGGGCGAAGGGCGAAGGGCCGAAGGGGCGAAGGGCGAAGGGCAGAAGAGGCGAACGGGCGGAGGCGAAGGGGCGGAGAAGGGCGAGGCTTAGGGGCGGAGAAGAAGGCGAAGGGGCGAAGGGCGAAGGCGGAGAAGGGCGAAGGGCGCGAAGGGCGAAGGGCGGCGGAGAAGAAGGGGCGAAAGGGCGAAGGGCGAAGGGGCGGAGAAGGGCGAAGGGGCGGAGAAGGGCGAAAGGGCGAAAGGGCGAAGGGCGAAGGGGCGAAGGGCGAAGGCGAAGGGGCGGAGAAGCGAAGGGCGAAGGGCGAAGGGCGAAGGGCGGAGAGGGCGAAGGGCGAAGGCGAAGGCGAAGGGCGAGAAGGGCGAAGGGCGAAGGGCGGAAGGGCGAAGGGGCGAAGGGCGGAGAAGGCGGCGAATTAAGGGCGAAAGGGCGAAGGGGCGAAGGGCGAAGGGGCGAGAAGAAGGGCGAAGGGCGAAGGGCGAAGGGCGGAGAAGGGCGAAGGGCGGAGGGCGAAGGGCGAAGGGGCGGGGAAGGGCGAAGGGCGAAGGGGCGCGAAGAAGGGGCGAAGGGCGGAAGGGGCGAAGGGGCGGAGAAGGGCGAAGGGCGAAGGGCGGAGAAGGGCGAAGGGCGAAGGGCGGAGGGCGAAGGGCGAAGGGCGAAAAGGGCGAAGGGGCGGAAGGAAGGCGAAGGCGAAGGGGCGGAGGAGGCGAAGGGCGAAAGGGGGAAGGGCGAAGGGCGAAGGGCGAAGGGGGGCGGAGAAGGGCGAAGGGCGAAGGGCGGAGAAGGGCGAAAGGGCGAAGGGGCGGGCGAACGAAGAAGGGCGAAGGGGCGGAGAAGGGCGAGGGGCGGAGAAGGGCGAAGGGCGAAGGGGCGAGAAGGGCGAAGGGCGAAAGGGCGGAGAAAGGGCGAAGGGCGGAGAAGGCGAAGGGCGAAGGGGCGAAGAAGGGGCGAAGGGCGGAGAAGGGCGAAGGGCGAAGGGGCGGAGAAGGGCGAAGGGCGAAGGGGCGGAGAAGGGCGAAGGGCGAAGGGGCGGAGAAGGGCGAAGGGCGAAGGCGAAAGGGCGGAGAAGGGCGAAGGGCGAAGGGGGGCGCAGCGGGAAAGGGAAACGACGCTGCTGTATCTTCATCTCTCCTTAATGCCGGGATGAACGGCGCTCCGGACTGATCCTTTTTTATATGTCGTTTCTACAGGAGACTTGTTATTAAGGCTGGCGCAGGCGAGGCGAGGAGGGGAGGAGGGGGGAGGGAAGGGAGATGGTGAAAGGGGAAGAGAGGCGAGGAGGAGGAGCAGGGAAGAGAGGAGGCGGAAGGGGAGGCGAGGCGAAGAGGGAAGGTGCGGGGAAGGAGCGGGGAAGGTGAAGGGGCGGGGAAGGTGAGGGGCGAAGAGGGGAGGTGAAGTGGGGAGAAGGGGAGAAGGAAAGGGCGAAGTGGAAGAGGGAAAAATATTTAGACACTTTTCCCTCCTTTCTGAATTCCCTCTCCTTCCTAGGACACTCCCTTCGGGGGGCGAGCGGGCGACCGAGGAGGGGAGAGAGGGCGGCCGATGATAAACGAGGGAAAAGGGGGAGGGGCGAGGAGCGAAGAGGACGCGAAGAAGCCCCGGGGCGGTCTCTACGGGGACGAACGGCCCCGAACGGCTGGATATGATAAACAGAGTTAAGAGGTTGGGCACGGGGGGGGGGGGGGGGTATGACGGCTCTGCAATATAATTAAACCTCACAAGGACGACAAGGACCGAGAAATAGCCCGGCCCTCAAGTACGACCTCGACCATGTTTGAGTTGGAATTAGTGGGGGTCGTTGAGGAGGTTAGAACCTTGGAGCTTGCTGAAGCAAAAAAAGAAAAGCAAGAAAAAA